GAGTGGTACTTAAGTAAAAATGATCACGTCGAAACGACGAGATTTCAGCTTACCAGAGAAAAAAAAATCTCAGCCCTTTCTTAACAAACTTCTAAAAACAACCAAAGGAAATCGGGGGTTCCTTTCTCAGAATGATAACCAAAGTTTAAAATAAATTCTAATGTTTATGTACCTTCATCTACCAGCATAATAAACACTGTCTTGTTCATGATTTTGCTTTGTTTCAAGTTTTACTGTCTTTGATGGTGGTTTTCGGTTATTATTATCAGTCGGTTAGTGTGATCAATTTGTCTGAGTCCCGAAGTGATCACATTAAGCGGCGTCCACTGTAGATGGTAAAACGTTAACCAAAATTTGTCTAATCATCCCCACCACTAATGTGATGACGTCACTTCAAAATTGTACGTAGTAATTGGGTTTTAAATTGTATCAAATAGCATAGTCTTATACATGTAGTTTATGACTTCGAATTGAGATTTTACCGGAAACGTCCAGATTTTTGGAAAAAAAATCAAAATTAGGAAACAACATTTTGAGATTTAATTTGGAATCTACAAAACCGAATGCTTTGAAATCTTACAGATAGTTTACAGTTATGATAAGCATGATAAAATTTTAATCACAATATATTTAGTTATCCCCTCCAAAAAATTGATGACGTCACCCCAAAATTTTCCTGAATAAATTCTATCTAAAATGTACAAAATATGATGAGTCTCTTCTTGTGATTTATCATTCCATTCATATTTTTTGGATATGCACATATATAAAATTAATGAATGCGTGAATTTAATTTATTGATTTAATCAGGAGCTACAAAACCGAATGCTTTGAAATCTTGCAAATATTTTAAATTTATCATAAGCATGGCAAATTTTTGATCAAAATATATTTGCTCATCACCCCTAAAAAATGGATGACGCCACCCCAAAATTTTGCTGAATAAATCCTATCTAAAATGTACAAAATATGATGAATCTCGTCTTGTGATTTATCATTCCATTAATATTTTTTGGATTTGCATATACAGGGTTACCCAAAAAATTAATGAATGAGTCAATTTATTTTATTGATTTAATAAGGAAGTATAGAACCGAATGCTTTGAAATCTTGCAAATGTTTTAAGGTTATAAAGAGCATAATAAATTTTTAGTAAAAATATATTTGCTTATCCCCTCCAAAAAATTGATGACGTCAGCTCAAAATTTTCTATCTAAAATGTACAAAATATGATGAGTCTCTTCTTTTAATTGATCATTCCATTCATATTTTTTGGATTTGGATATACAGGGTGGCCCAAGAAATTTAATGAATGAGCAAACTTATTTTATTGATTTAATCAAGAACTACAAAACGGAATGCTTTGAAATCTAATGCGAAAAAACATAATAGGCATGCAGTCGTCACGTTTCCGACAGCGAGGGAAGTACTGTCTAAACTCTTTAGACCGATTTTTTTAAAGACTTAAAACCCGATTGCTCCTAAATTTTGCAGACATTTTAAGAATACTGTCAAAATGGTAAATCACTAATTAGAATATATCTGTTCATCGCTTCCAAAAACTTGATTACGTCATGATAAAATTTTGTTATGCAAATTTTACTTAAAATATAGCATAGCATGCCCCTTTTATATTAATTTAAAAACCATCCACTTTTCGAGCGTAAGCTAAAAGAGAATTGTAAACGAATCCATCGGGCGATTGACTACTTTCATGTTTTCTCGACATTTCATGGCCCTTAGAACACGAAAAATTAGGTCCCCTTATCCGTTTGTCTGCAGTCTGTCCGGATGTTTATTAGACATATAATCTCCGAAACTACTAGACTTATTGTTGATAAGTTTTGTATGTATATTAGGAATATTGTGTAGATGGTCAAATGCTAACCAAAATTTAATCGTCTCCACAAAAAACGGGATGAAAACCTCTCAAAATTTTGTACAATAAACATAATTTAAATTTCATAAAATAGAATACTGCTATACTTGTGCTTTATGAATCTGGCATGTTTTTGTTTAAAACTATTTGTGCTTTATTGTTCTTTAGTCACATAATACGTAGCCACGCAAACCTACTTAATGGTCCTGTGTTGTGAAAGTCTGCTTTGCAGGTGTAGGTTTTCAGTTCGTTCCCCTCGCGTTTCGATTTTTTTTTTATTAAATCAGAACTAGTTCGTTCCAAAATGTAATATAGTAATGTTACGCCCGTCTATATTTAATAATAGTAATAAAATAATAACTGTCATAATAAAGGTCCCTCACCCCTAATTATATTTGGACCGTTGTACTCCATTATAACTTAATTAATTGATCAGTCTTCTCCTCTGTTTCAAGGAGATAAAATCAATAAATTTTCTTTTTTTTTAACACAAATGCATGAAACCTCTGATGCTTGATACCTGAGCGTACTAATCATTGAACATCTTTCTACGTATAAACATAAACACTCGAAATTAAATATTAAGTTAAGTGTTTTTATTAAGAATACGTCCTTTTTCCCGTTGATTATCCGTTTTCAATATACTTTATATTGACCGCACTTGTGCGCACTGCGCCCCTTTGGAATTTGTGTGTTATTTACACCACTGGTTTTTACTTTATAAAGGTTATCAGTGTTTGCACAAAACAAAAATTGCAAAATGAAATTGTATAATTTTTCAAAGAATTTGTAGGACTGTTTTCGGGCGAGGGGGGAGCGCGGGGGAGCGCGGGGGACGGAACTTCTGTTGAAATAAATTTCGATCATTTTTTTAGGTTTAACGTATAGGGCTTATTGAAACAAAAAAAAGAATACAATTTTTCTAACAAAAATTCTAATAGAAACTTCTGCTTAAGCCGACCAAGTATTGTAGTAGGGTCTATTCGTCAAATGGGTTCTTTCATGTTTTCCCGACGTTTCATGACCCCTAGAAAATTAAAAATAGGTCTTCCGTTTCCGTTTATCTGCCGCCTAGCGTCTTCGAAATTACGGAACTGATGGTTGTCAAATTTTGTATGTATTTTGGGAACATTGTGAATATATAGTAAAACGACCACCAAAATTTGTTTGATAATTCCCTCAAAATATAAATGCTTAAAATAGCATTCTTGTACTTGTGGTTTATGACGCAACCTTAATTTTTACTCTAGGCATCCATGTTTTTCAGAACAACACAGATCGTCCTTTCCCAAAAAATTAATGATCTCATCCAAAAATTTTGCTGTATAAATAATATCTGAAACGTGCAAAATTATGAGCCTATACATTACGTCTATTCATATTTTTTGGATATCGAGTTTTTCCAACAAAAAAATACTCGAAAGTTGTTTCGACAGAACTTCTAGCGCACCTAAAGTAATTTTTTCTTTACACAATTTTCTGATGACGTCATCAACATTTTGGCAAGAATACGTATGTCAACTTGAATTGGTGCAATGTAATAATGTAAATAACAGTATTGTATTGCCAAAATTTTCTGGGAAAATGGAGCGAGCTGTTCTTGATTTAATCAGTAAAATAAATTGACTCATTCATTAATGAAGCAAATCGAAAAAATATTAATGCAGTGATAAATCATAAGTATAGACTCATTATATTTTGCACATTTAAGATAGGATATATTCAGCAAAATTTTTTTATTACGCTTATCATAACTTTAAAACATCTGCAACATTTCCAGCCATTCGGTTTTGTAAATTCAAAATTAAATTGTAAAATGTTGTTTTATAATGTTGATATTTTTTCCAAAAACCTGGACGTTTCGAGTTAAAACTCAACACGGAGTCATAAATTACTAGGACTATATTATTTTATACAATTTAAAATCCATTTACTATCTCTAATCTTCCCCACATTATTGGTGGGGATAATTAAACAAATTTTGGTTAGCGTTTTACCATCTACATGATATTCTTAATATAAATACAACAATCGACCCAGTACTTTCGGAGATTATCTGTCTAATAAAAATCCGGGACGGCAGACAGCGGACGGACAGACAGACGGAACCGGGAAACCTATTTTTTCGTACTATAGGGGTCATGAAATGTCGCGAAAACGTAAAAGTAGAGAGTCGGCCGACGGACTGGGGAAGTAATAAAAATAAAATTTTCCAAAATCTAATTTTATAATTTTTATAAGAGGATGGATTTATTGCACTGTACCTACTTACTTCAGAGACGACGAAGAGTCTAAGTAAAATGCAACTTCATTGCACAAATTTTAAATAATGTACTATCTGTAATTTCTAGTTGAAAATGAATTGCACAAAACTGCCAAGAGTTTTATGCAGTAGTGTACAGAATGACGATTTGTTTTTAATAATAAACTGTAAATTTATTTGTTCAGTGTCTGAGGGATGTTGATTACGTCATCTCAAAACCATTATTAAATAGGAGTATGTCAAGCAGTGTCACTTGAAATTTTGTGATACGTTTTTCCTGTTCAGAATGGTCCATAAAAATAATAAATACAATAATTTATTTTATTGATCCGTAACGTTTTGATTACTGTCTCAAAGTCAATATGTTTTTTGCTACAAAATGGTTTACATTGTTATTCCGGTAATTATAAAGCAAATATTTACTTAAGATTTTTAGAATACTCCTTGACATGTATCCGGTAAGGTGTGCAAGTTTGCGAGTTCTTTGTAAACAAAAAGATTATTTAGCAGTTGTGTTAGGTACTACTGAAGTGGAGATGTTTAAAGAACTTTTGCAAATAAATCTCTGTATGTATTTGTTAAAGGAATACGTTGAAGCAGTATACATTGAAATGACACCTAATACGTTAACCCTATTCATGACTAAACCCAGCGTAACACCCGACATTCCGTTTCCCGATGAAATCATAAATAAGCATTAAAAAGCACCGCTATGATCGCACGTTGTCCTCCAACCTCCTCCACAACACCAAATTCATACCTGAATCACTTTTCCCTCTTACTAATTCAGGGAGAACACCCTACTTGTTGGCATAAGTGACCGCCAAAGAATCAGTTAATCTTCGGCGATCGGCAAAATAAGATCGGCCGCCAAAAAAAGAGCGACCACTTTCAGTTTCATTCACGCGTCTAGTGATTCCAACGGTAGAGCGGCCGACGAACACATGTGCATTGAGAGAAAAAACTGTGTCATACGGACAATGCCACTTTGATGTTTTTGTAACTGAAAACATGCCAAAGTCGTACAAGATGAACTTTTTAAGTGCCATATTTTTTATTTTCGCCGTTGCGAACGTACTCGCGAGCGACTGTCCGGCCAAAAAGACCACTTCCAAGTTGATTTGTTATTATAGTAAATTGGCGCACGTTGATTCGTGCAAATGCTCACATGTCATCTTGCCAGCCGACGCCGATGTCAAGTCCATCGATAGGATCAGGGGACTGATCAAGGGGGTGAAGATTTTGATCACCGTCAACGAGTTCAATCAGGTATTTTGATTTTTGATCGTTGCCATTTTTTTAAATTTTACTTTTAAAGTATAGTTTGTCAAAAGTTTGATTTTTGACACCATTTTTGTCAAATTATAATCCGATAATTTTTCTCAGAATTGTTCATTCGATACATTATTATTACAAGGTTGCGAATTGCGATTATACACAAACTATACTTTAGTGTGATGCTGCTGTCAGAAAGAAATGATATCACGTAGAATTACAATTTTATCTATAAAAATTTAAATTTTTTGACTGAGTACATTCTCGGCCTAGAAACTTTCCCACATTCTAGAAAATGTGTAGATACATTATATCAGAATGCGATATTGGTTACGGCCTTCTTTTTATGTTATAACAAAGTGTGCCCAATATAAAAAAAAAAACAAAATTTGCATAATTTTTATTCTTATTGTTTACAAAAAATCAAGATAATCCAGTAAAGTTCTATAGTATTAAAATATAGTGAGTCGTTATTATTAGGAAAAAAACTTTTTAATATAGAAAAATTTATGGAGTAAATTTCTTAACGAAGACCGATTATTTTTCAAAAAATATTTAAATGGAATGAATCTTACTCGTGATAAAATTGTAAAATTTTTAATTTACGGACCCGCAGCTATCTTCTTTTTGAGTACAGCATTATGTGTTACGTTAAATTAAATCATTTTAAATACACTACACATGAAAATATTTATTCAAAAAATTGGATTGCAAATATTAAATTGTTATTGTTTGAAAATATTACACTACGATAATTATATCAATGAATTCAGAAAAAAAATCTCTATAAGTATCTCTAACGAACGTCGTTTAAGAAAAAAAGTTTAATGCTCTAGACAAAAACAAAAAAATTAAGCCTAACATTAATTTTCCAAATCAGATGGTAGTAGGTATATTTAAAACGATTTGATTTGATCTATACGCAATGCTGAAGTAGAAAAAATAAAACAACTGCGGAACTATTTTGTTTTGCAAACACACGTTAATGTAACATCAGAACCTACTTGCTATGTTACTTAGTCGTTCCACAAATTTCAGGAGTTAAAAAAAAAGAAAAATCTGAATTTATTAAACCATACTTTTGAGGTAAAGCCAAGAAATCTTATTGAAAAATATGCATGAAAAAAAATTAGTAGTACATAATAGGAATACCAATTATTTTAATAAAATATATTTTTTTTTTAGAATAATAAACAAAATTTTGTTGATATTTTGTTGTCTAAGAAAATATATAGTGTTATAAATTATAAAGAGGGTTAAAAATAAATGGTCTTAAGCCGTTTATAAAACTTCCCTGGCTCTTTAGCATAACCAGTTAAACAAGTTCAGTTTAAGTGATGAATCGTGATAGCTAATGTAATGTAGATTAGCTACAAAAATAAAGGTTGATAATTAATTCACAGGTAATGAACTGAGTATAACATATAACTGTTTATAGTACAATGTAATACTAATAAATAATTGTAACAGGGTGATTCAAAAATTGATAGCTCTATGACACATTGTTACCGACTTTTTATTTAGTAAAAAAAAAATAAGTAAAAATTTCTTAGACCCAAATGTAGAAGACATAGGCCTTTACACTTATTTTTTTTATGGGACTTTCATTATTCAAACAAATTTTCAAAATATCGTCAGCTATAGTTTTTCATTTTATAATATTACAAACAACTTAAAAATTGTTCACAATGAATGTAACAACAATAGCTAATTTTTGTTTTTTTATTTACCTATTTAAATCGATAGTTTGTTCTTCTAAGTGAACGCCAAACTGATGTAAGGAATTTTTTAATGATTTTCCTCTAACTAATCAAGTAACCAGTGTACTTTATAATGCACCATTGAGTTAGTTCGTCATTTTTTAATCACCTTATATAAGCTATTTTTGAGTAATCAACGAAAGTAATTTGCTTCATTCGTTAATTTATTTAAAAATAAAAATATATTGGCAATAGACTAATATTTCGTTGCGTTTTTAGAAATTTATTGAATATACTCGTATTTTTTAAAGGGTACGATAAATATATTTTTATTTTCCTAACGTAAGCTAAGGAAGTATTGTAATCGAGTCTATCGACTACGAAAAAAGGTCTCTCGTTTCCGCCTGGCTGTCTGCCGCCGGTCCGCATTTTTATAATTTTGTATGGATGTTAAGAATATCGTTTAGATAATAAAACGCTAACCAAAGTTTGTCTAATTGTTTGTCCTTAATTAATTAATTAGTCCTCTTCTCCGTGTTGAAGAGACAAAATCAATCAAATTTCAGTCTGTTTTAACAGAAATGCATACTTTGACACCGATGCTGATGAATGTGGTAATTCTTTTGAACTATAAACATAAACAGTCGAAGTTAAAAAGTACTAGAAAATAAGAATAATAACCTTCAACCAATTTTTCTACCTACTTCCATATCTAAAGTGTCATTTTAAGTTGTCTTGACGGCTCTGATTTAGGTTTTAGACATGACTAAACAGTCACTCAAGCCACTGGCTGAAGTTTTTAGTTATGGCTTGAATTGCTTTTTGTCTTAAATTTTGACGTTTTGATCTCTGTTGTTGTTTTAAAATAGAACGTTGCATTCTGTCTGATATTACAACTAATTTTTCTGCCGACAATTTCAAATTTTAAAAGACTCTGAGCTTTTAACGACACTGAAGGCTAAATTGTGTTAATGATAGTACGTTTGTTCAGTGATTAATATTGAGCTTTGTATTGTTCAGTAGAAGTAATAGTTTAACAAAAATTTTTCAGAGTTTCTATAATTATGGTTTTAATTTGAAGTAGAAAAAACATATTTTTATATTTATTTTAAAAATAAATTGCTCGAACTACTAGAGGAGTTTTTTTCGATCATATGGTCCTATTAATCGTTATTCTATAATCATTCAATAATGTTGATGCCCTACTAGAATTTCAAAAAATTGGTCGAAGGTTATTTCGACAGAACTTCCCTCGCCTCTGAAATACAATAAAACAAATCCAACTTTTTCGAAAAATTATGAAATTTGACGTCATTCCATTGGTGGTGGGGATGATTAGCCCATATTTTAGTTAGTATTTAACCATCTACATAATATTCATAGAATGTGACAATAATCGGTCCAGTAGTTTAAGAAATTACTTGTTTGGTAAAAATGGATACAGACACCAGACAAACAGATCGCCAGACAGACAGTCAGACGGAAACGGGAGACCACTTTTTTTCCTACTCTCGAGGTCATGACACGTCGAGAAAATATGAAAGTAGCAATTCGGCCGATGGACTCGCTTACGCTTGGGAAGTGCGTTAAAATATAAAATTTCACTGTAGAAATTTAATTTTATTTAATAATGATGCCACAAATTTTTGATGTTCACCCAAAATTTCAAAATATTCGTTCCAGTAATTTCGGAAATTTTCTGAATCTAAGACCGAAAAATAAAAACAATGAAAGCAATGCATTCGAACAATTTGGGCACACAGTATGAATACTGATATTTAAAATTTTAATTAAGGTTACAAAAGCGGAAAATTTCGTATAAAATCACCTGGACAGTAGGCATCAAATATGACTTCTAAGTTTGAAAAAAAACTAGACGAACATCTAAACCACAATCAAAAGTTTCATTTTAAATCTAGATGTTTTATAAGAGACACGAAACGTACAACGATACAATACAAAAATAATTGTTCAAGTTCACAGTTTTTGATGAAAACTCTTCACAAGTCCTTCCTCTTAAAACTTTTTAAAATTTACTTCAAAATATTGTTCGCTCTGGACAACACCCAAGGTGTAAAAAAAATACCCACGTGCTGAAATTTTCTGTAAGCTTTCATGTCATCTTCTTCTAGCGTTTTCAGTTTTAACCATGCTGTAATGTTCCCGAAATCTGTCTTTTGCGTCAGTTTTGTTGAACTTCCTTGGAATTTTACCTTAATTTTATTTTTCTGTTCCTACGGCGATCTGTAATATATTTTCATATTAAATATTTATTTTTTAGCCTATTCTTTAATCTATCAACATCAACTATCTATAACTGGAAATCTGTTATTCATACTTCTTTAAATATTTACAGAACATTCATATACATCTATATTACTACCACACCGAAGGACTTTTTTTTGTTCACAATTTTCGTCAAATTGTCAAGTCAGGAATAAAACGTGGTGGGACCTTTCAACTTGAGCACTGTTTATTAAAGTTGTCACCTTTATTACTGTCTTATATTCAGTGTGTGAGTGTAGATATATTTTTCTAAAACCAATAATTTCAAAAAGTTTTTCAAATTTCACAAACTTCCCTATTTTGAAAAAGGTCACAGCTGAATATGCAGCAATGATAAATCTTTTATTACTCCTAGTCAGCATGGATTCATTGCCAGACAATCGACAGTAACGATCGTTAGCATTATTAACTCATTTTACATTGAAAGTGGCGAATTCGGGAGGTCAGTTATATTATATGTGATTTACATTGACTATTTACACACTACTGAATTGACATTATTCTTCCACAAAAACTCAGTAGATATGGTTTTTCTTATTTAATGGGCTCGTCGTGTTTTTTATAATACATTAATTGCATCTAATGTTAAGAATTACTAACTTCTGAATACCATTCCACGACGGGGATATCGTAAAGTTCCTGACTGAGGCCATTGCTTTTTACACTGTTCATTAATGATCTTCATTAATGTTTCCATTTTTTCTTTGTTTTTAGTCTGTATTTTCACTTAAAAGAGTTCAAATATTATTTTTTTCACTAGCAGCTATGAAGCATCCAAATGTCGACTCATTTAGAGGTAGCAAATTCAACTTTTGCGACCATGGGTTCAAAAAGAAGATTGAGGTTATGTACGCAATATTTTATGTGATTATTTCTTAAAAAATCAATAAATGTGGGCTACTAACATTACTTGAGTATACGCATGGTAGTTGGTAGACGGTAGAAGATAAAATGATTAATTCAGCGACAAGTGTAAACGGTTTTCTTTGTGTTGAAGATTTAGATTAA